ATGATTGTAGTTTCTAAAACTTTTTTTAACAAAGTTGGATTTTGAATTTCCACCTTTTTCAAAATGTTTTGTTCCAACTTTATCAAAAGAATTTTTAAGATCATTAATTTTCTTTTGATGATCATCATTGATCTTTGAAAGTAAATTTTGCAAATCTAAATTTTTCTTTTCAAACTCTTCTAGTTTGATTTGCAAATCTTTGATTTTACTTTCAAGATCGTTGTTGGTTTTGGATATGAGTTTGTTTTCATTTTTCAATTTTGAAACATCATTTTTATATTTTAAAAATAATTTCTCATAATCCAAAGCCAACCCATTATATTCCTCTAATAACTCATCATAGGATAAATCATCAAAATCGAATGAGTTAAAGGTTACCTTAGAATCTTCCCCAAATGCCATCAAGCACAAGTTAGCTACTTCTTGTTCCTCTTCATCAGAACTTTCTTCATCGCTCCATGTAGCCACATGAGCCTTGTGCTTATTCTTTGATTGACCCTTTTTCTTCAATTGTGGGCAATCATATTTGACATGCATGGCTTTTTGCATTCGTAGCAAATGATTTGGCCCTTCTCTTTTGGTTCATTTTTTAGGCCTTCATTTCATTTGAATTTTCTTCCTCGATAAGGTCTCATCATTTTTCTGAACCGTTTGGCAAACAATGACATTTCCTCATCATCGTTTATTCGAATCACTCTTATCTTTTGTGGATTTGATAGCAACTCCAATGTTTTTCTTCTTCTCCTTCTCCTTTGGTGTCTCGTCAATCTTGTCGAGGTCCACCTCATCTTCGAGCATCATTTCATGAGTGAGGAGTGACCCAATTAGCTCTTCAAGAGTTAAGGACGTTAAGTCCTTAGACTCGATGATTGTCGTCTTCTTTGATTGCCACAATTTTGGGAGGGAGTAGACTAACTTCCTCACAAGCTTTTCATTTGAAATGATCTCTCCATATGATTTGATACCATAGACAATCGTTGAAAATCTATCCGTCATAGCTTTGATATCTTCATTTGGTTTCATCCTGAAATTTTCATAGCTATGCGTTAGAATACTAATTTTAGATTTCTTTACCTCATCGGTACCTTCATGAGTGACTTGAAGTTTGTCCCATATTTCTTTGGCGGTTGTACACGATGAAACTCTTCCGTATTCATCTGGTCCAAGAGCCCAAAAAATTATATGGATGGCTTTGGAGTTGAGCTGAAACATTCTTTTCTCTCCTTCACTCCACAACCTTAGATGAGTGAGAGGTTTGATGTATCCTTCTTCTACAGCATTCCATGCTCCCATGTCACTTGCTTGAATGAAGTACATCATTCTATTCTTCCAATAGGCATAGTTAGCTCCATTGAAGAAAGGAGGCTTGTTGACGGGCATTGAGTCGAGACCAGAGTTGAAGTTTGAAACGGAGGCCATTGATGACTTTGATTATCGATATAACTCTTCCTGAATCGACTCAAGAGGCAATTAAACCTTCAAATGAGTTAGGCTCTGATGCCAATTGTTGAGTTAATCGATTGACGAAATTGTCCAAGAGGGGGTGAATTGGCAATTAAAAATTTGGTGGAAGCTTTTGCAGAAAATTGAAAGTAATTGCACAGCGATTTAGAGTGGTTCGACTTTCTCAATCAAAGTCTACGTCCACTACCTTAGCTATCCACACTAAGGATTTTCCAACAAATTCACTAATTTGTTCTTTCTTTTGAGGCCAAAGAGATAACTTTACAACACCCTCAAGAATATACCCCAATTCTTGAGACCACTCTTTCCCAAAGAGAAGATTATAAAATTTGCAAACTTACAAGGAAAACCTCTCAAGGTAAGATGTTTGCACAATTCTAGAACAAGAAAAGAACACTCACAAATAATTACAAATGAGCACAAATGGTGTTCTTTGAAAGCAAAATGAATATTGAAAGGAAAATTGGCTTGATTTGCACAAACTTTGTGTTTGATGCTTTCTCTCTTGTTTCTCTATAATTTTCTTGTTGATCAAGGGCTTCAGAACTTGTTTAAGTACACCTTGAATCACTTCTGAACGTTGGGGATGATTAGTGAAGATCATATAGCCGTTTTAGTGTGAAAACAATTAATAAAACAGCTTGGAGCGTGGGGGAATCGGTTCCCTAAGTGTAAAATTCAAATATTTCGACCGTTATACAATGGGGGAATCGGTACCCCCTTAGGGGGGAATTGGTTCCCTCTGAGCAATCTGGAATTTTTGGCTTTGAAATGGTTCGAAATACTTTGTAAAATTATTTTGAAATTGTTTTAAGATTAAAACTTAATTTTACACTTTGAGTAAGGATTAAAAATTATCTTTGAAAGATTTGGAGTAATGTTTTGATATTCGAATAATTCTATCGAATATACTTAGAAAATCATTTGGAAAATCTTAAAATTCATTTAACTTAATTTGTTATATTGAAATATCAAAATGTTTTCAACAGAGTCCACAAAAATACTTCCACTAGCACCATAGCGATCCACCAGACGAATTGCTCGAAGAAAGTTCAACAACCGCATTAATACAATGGAGAATCCAGCACTAATCTCTTCCAAATGCCGTCAAGCTTGGAAGCATGAAACTCTCAACAAAACAAAAACAAACACCATCCACTCAACCGTTCCACTATAGAATTCAACTAGCACCACAATAACAACACTAACAGACCACTACTTCGCAAGAAATTGGAGCACAATCCAATTTAAAATTACCCTAGGATCAATTTCCACAATAAACAACGCCTACCCCACCCAACTTACCTCCTTAAACAGGACCAAGACAGATAAAAGCATCCAACTCTGCGTTAAAAAAACAAAATATAACAGAAAACAATTCTTAATCGATCTCAAAACAGAAAAAAAAACCCAGCAGCTGAATAATCATTGAAAATGCTCAAAGAACCTCCACTTAAGATTCTTCAGAACAGTAACTAATTTGACATTAAATTCTAGTCCTTGAAACGATCATCGCTTTGCATCAAAGCAAAAACACTGCTTTGTGGAAACATGCAGTGCTTGATCCCCCTAAGGCATGCCAATATGGTCAAACTTTAGTCTCCACAAAACCTCCTACAATTCTACAAATCTCCCTTCGTACAGTCCATGAAATTTTGAGTCTTCAAATTTGATTATTCCATCGCATCTACCGAACCAAAACCAAAATTCATCAAAAGTTGCAAGATCCACTTTTTCTCACAACATTAGCCCACCTCAACTTTGCTTAGACAATATCATGTGAGTTTATTTGCGCTTCCAACACCTCTTGGTAAGTGATAAAAGAGGCAATATCCACCCAAAAAGACAAATGTCAGACTCGTTTAAAGTATCATTTTTTCACACTCATGCGACAACAACATCACAACACTATACACCTCATCTCGACTTTTCCTCCACTGATATCGGCTAAAATTCAATAGATAAAGATTGTGACTCGCTTTCCAATCCCTCCAGCATTACCTACAGCTTTCGAAAATCTAAAATCATAATCATCATCACACCAGAATCTTACTATATCCGATTCAGAAAATCCCTCTTTTTTAGTTTCTTGAATCAACACAATCTCATACTTATACATCCTAATAATCCTCCTCATTTCAGAAATTTAACATTTGAGCCCATCCCTCGAATATTCCAAGAAAAAAATCTCATCTCAAAGCCTACTTCCGCTGAACACTACTGAAATTCAATAGATTGGGAAGTTGACTCACCTTCCAGATCTTCCACAATTTCCCGAATCAGAGCCTCTTCTGAACCTTTAAACACTATGCCCAATTCTTTCCCAACCTGTAATGTTTCTTTGGCTTCCTTCCTTTGTCTCTGCCACCTATCATGTAAGTCAGAATCAGATAGGGATCTGTCTTCAAGTTCAGTCGATTCTTCCTGACGTTGCACCTTCTTCAAATTTTTCTTACTTTGGCAGTTTCTAGACTTCCTTTGGGGAGTCAAAAATTTCTCTTGAATAATTTGAAGATAACTATATTTTTTATTTTTCCCACCCTTTGCTTTCTCGTTCTGCCTGGGATTGAGCGAGAGAAAATCATTCCTCAAATTTGTTGACAAGCAAAGTCTGTGGACCGAATCCACACATTCTATCCCAGTATTGGGCCTTCTGAAATCAACCTGATCTACCCCAGCCTCATCCTGATGAAATTCGTCTCCCATGGGGCTTTTGGAAACAAACGTGTTTGTAAAACTCATATTAAACAAATCCTCTATCACCATTGGCTCCATTCGACCATCCAATATGGGCAATTCTTTAGAATAATCCTTAATTTCCTCATTTCCACGAGCAGACATACCAATTTTCCCATTGACAGCTTCTGCCTTTCTCTTCGCGTGGAATTGCACTTCCTCGTGCACCACTGCCACCTCGTTATGCGTTTGATCCTTCCCTGAACCAGCCACATTATTCCCCAAACCCATAATTATTTCCTCTCCTATGTTCTTTTCCTCCCCGTCCTCCCCCGACAAAAAGTTGCCTCTAGTTCCCCATACACCATAACTGACTGTCTTCATCCTCAGAATTCCTCTCGGCCTCCTTCTCCTCCGAAGAGTCCACAGTTCTTCCTGCCGAAGATTCAGAATCGACAATAACCGCGTCCTCTCTTTTCTCTCGTTTTCGAATCAATGAGTCACATCTGCTTGTGGGAAATTCCACCACTCTAATTCTAAAAATATATCTACCTGCTTCCAAGTCTACCACTTCGTCGATAGATACTTTCCTAGTAGTTACTATCAGAATGGACATCTCCTCGCATCCCAATTCTTGAAGAGCGTTCTCTCCCATCGCAATGCATTTTCCCCATTGTTGTGTTATCCTCTTAAAAGTGTTATGGTTCCAGCAGTGAAGAGGCACTCCAAATAGTTTTATCCACGTTACTCTTTCCGACACTCTATAGGATTATGACCAAGGTTGAACTTCCTTAAAAACTTCATTTAAAAGCGACTAGTTCTGCTCCTTCAAGACTTCTGTACAACTCTTCATCATCAATTTACAACGAGTAGTCTCTCCCTCCCAAGAATTTTGTCTTAATTTCTCCTAAACCTCCCGCTTGTAGTTTGTCTTCCACCTGTCTCGAAGAACAAACTGCCACCATCGTTCCTACGAGACTTTTCTGGAGCTTACGAACAATGTCCTCATCAACCTCCCCCTGAACTAACCGAGTCCTCCTTGCAGAAACCTCCGCACTTTTCCCGCTATCGTTGTATCCTTGTTCTATCCTGGTTGTAGCATTGGGTGATTAAGGGTTGCTCATTTTTCAGTTTTGATTCTTAGTTTCATATCGTGCTTCATTGACGGCTAAACGATATCCAAATAACCAGAATCCGTTTAATCTTTGGACTGCTCTAACTGAATCATCCCTGTTAGAAAATCTAACAAAATCAAAACGCTTTCCTGTTCTATCATTTTTTCTTGCGATATAAGAACTAATCACATCTCCATGTCTCCCGAATAATTGTCTCAACCCACTCCAATGGTAACTAGGTGGAATGTTTTGCACAAACAAAGAAACTTCAACACCTTCCTTCCCTAAGCTTTGAGCCATATCATATTAGGAAAGAGTGTCAATATAGAGACATATTGACAAACACTTGGTGTGCGTTAGACCTAGAATAATCCTCCAATCAAAAAATACTTATGATAGAACCCCCTCCGATGAAGAGTAGACTTAAAACAATACTGATCAAATAAAGAAGAAAGACAACTTACACACCTTGTAAACAGTTAAATTGCATATTGTCTGCTAATGATTTTTCCTAGGTTCCTGTAATTTCAGATTACCGACTTTCCTCCTGGAAGAATGCCTGTCGAAACATACATCATTATGGAGCATTAACGTTAAAGAAGAGAAGAGATGGAAAGGATCGTTTTTATTTTGTTCTCATTGGCCCTGATTCTCTTCTGGGTCTGCATATTAGAAATACTGATCCTGGAATTTTGGCCAAACGACATCAAACGTCAACTTATGGTTTTACTGGGAGCAATGAACAGCTAGGTTTTTCAGTATGCCCTACATATATATTTGCAACTCAAACCCCCAGTACTGAAACCCAAATCCAGAGCTGAAGTTTGAATTCGATTCATCAAAAATCCAAGAGAAGAGAGGTGATGAATATAAGAAAACAACCGAGGAAGATTAGAAAGGGACGAAGGGTTTTTATTAGGGAGAGACAGATCAGAAGCAATTAAAAATCGGATTTCCTCTGAAAAGGCAGTATATATCAGAAGTTTCTTCCATCGACAGATAATTCCAAATCTTAATAAAGTTAAAAAAAAGAAGGAAATCAAATATAAATATTTTTAATCAACTTTTGCATGTTAATGTAGTGAGATGAAACATGGAAATATCGAATGTGAATTAGAAAAGATGAATAATCTTGACAAACCATTGGACATGTAATGTTTTTCTATCCAAAAGTGCAGATTCTAGGACAAGTTGATATCTTCTTATAATCTTTTTGACCCTAAAGTTAGCAAAGGTAAAAATAAAAACATCGAAAACACTTTTAAAAATATATTATGAAATGAATTATTACTTCAAATGTGGGGGGAAAAACATTTCACAAGCGGGGTTATATTTAATATCATTTGTATTATTTGCCTAAACAAACTGTCTTGTAGCACAAAGATATGCATGTATCGACTTCCATTTTCATTGGCATCTTTGCTCTGGTTAGTTCCATATTTGGTGTAAACCCATTGGATGCATGCTGAATAAATATATCCCTAGAAAAGAGTGATGTTGGAGTTGGAACAAGGGAATTTGATTAAGAAATTCATCCATAACCTTTATCCTACTAGGTTGGAAACAACCAGGCCCCAGAGAATAATTCAAATATCAATTTTATTAATATACAAAACATCACATCCTTACACCCAACTCTGAGCATCCTTTATTATTTTTAAACAACAAAAATCGACCTTAGAGATGACTACTAGGGAACCTGCACGTGGTAAATTTTCATTCCATCAGATTATTATTTGATGACAAAAAAACCAGTCAATCGTGCTCTTTAAAGATGGTGCAAAATGATCAATCACTCTGAAAAAGAATCTTGAACCCATATTTAGCATAGTGTTCGTAAGCTCAGAAAGGTCCCAAAAAAACATGTTATGAAGTTAATGATCTAAAGATATGCATCAAACATCTTTGGTTGGGACTTCGTTTCGTTATCTTCTCTTCAGACAAAAGTCGAATAAAAGAGTCGACCTAGAGTGGAGTTTGGCATTTACTGGTGTCTGTGCATGGTAAAATAGGGTTTCAGGGAAAGTCGGCTTAAATGGAGAAGATATATGTTTTGTTCGTCCCTTAGCTTCGGGAATGACCTAACTGGTTGCCATTTATTTCCTTTTCCAAATGTTCCTGTTTCTCTGTGAGCAAATATCACATTATACCTGGAATTTAATGAATCGAACTTAAACTGTCAATGTTGTATTCGTGTTCGTTTATGTGCTGTCTATAAACTCCGCTACCCATACCATTTATCTATTAACCATCATCAACACCGCAAAATCTAATAATCTAAATAGCATTTCATCTAAGATCTAAGATTCTCATTCAAAACCTATATCGAAATCTTGTTAGTACTTGCAATTCTCCTGAAAACTACAAAACTATGTTTAACTCGGTTCATAATACATTTTACAGAAGAGAAAAACAAACAGCAGTGCAGACAAATCCTTCATTGCACGCTTACATTAAATGAATATATGCATTTAAATCACCAAAGAGCTAAAACAAAAAGGTTTTCAAGATTGCAGAAATCTTGGTCCCAACACCGATTCAAAACTACTTAAGGGATATTAATGTAAATGCACATGAACAGTCTAGGAACTTGTTGCAGTTAGAGAGCAAGACCCATTAGGTTTCTTCGTGGAGCGTGAGCTTCTCCTCTCGTATGTTTTTGCCTTTTTGGTGGGAGCTTTAAACAAGAAACTGCAACAGCAGCTTCACAGTAAAACCCTAAAACATCTGGTCTCCAACTTCATCAACTGCTTATAAATCATTCGAGATGTAAAACCAACACCAAATTTGAATAAGAAAATACAATACCTGGTAGGATAATACAAAAGAGACTTCTCAAGGCAAAAAAAAAAATGTTCTTGAAAGAGTACAAACCTCAGCCGTAGACCCACATTTTCCTCTTGGAGTAAAAACGAAGCTTTCCTTTCGTATAGCCAAACAATGAGAACCGACCGCCATTTAGAAATTGAGATAATCTATATAAATGTCAATGAAGAATAAACGAATAAGTTAAAGAAACGATCATTGTTCCTACATTAACTCATCCATAAATTATTTTATATATATAAAAGAAGTGGTCGTCATGAAAAACCTGGATGAAAGTACTTTGGTGTTGATAAAAAACAGCAGAAGGACTCCCTTCAGTCCAAGCACAGGAAGATTAGGATTCAATCTGCCTCCCGCATCATTCACCCATTTACTGGGTAGCTTTTTGCTTGCCGGTCCATTTTAACTCAGTATTTGGGTGAATGAGTCGGCAGCTAATTAATCCCATCGCCACCATGGGTGGACTGAAGAAAGCTCTTTCTTACCTATTAAATCACCAATAAACAAAAAACAAAAACACTTAGAGAAAACCACATACAAAACAATAATAATGATAGAATATAGTCATATACTGTATGTATGTTGAAGTGGTGAGACTTAAATTGCAGATTTTTGTGATACATAGATCTATGGATCCACTTTCCATTAATTTACATCATGCAACCCTATACAACTCTAGAAGGAAGAATAAGTCAGCTAGTATAAATTAGGCACAGAAATTTCTTCACTGTGACAGGTCGAAATGGATCATGGATTAAAAGTGGGTGGAAGCAGAAGACTAGAAGCTGCTTTAACAAGTGAAAGAAAGAGAGAAACGACAGAAGGGAAAGGGAGATTAAAGAAGCGTCTGTTCAAAAAGGAAGATATTTGCACAAAGGCGAGTCAAAGAAAGAGGATGGAAACTTTGGACTTGAAGAAGAAGAAAGAGAAGGGACATTTTCTTTTTCCCCCCTAAGTTTTCTTTTTCTACGGTGACAAGCAACCATAGCTCGTAGCACCAGAGACAAGGATATGGCATTATATAAGCTAAAAAGGAGAGGGTCTAGTGCCCATTAGTATGTTTATCTCTTTTTATAATCTTCCCTAATAGATGATATCAAATTAATTCTTGAATCATTTAATGATTTTTATTCAATAATGAACTTGAGTTTAATCTTTTCCCACACTCTTGGTTTTTTTATCAATCTATTTTCCACTAATTTTACTTAAACCTTTTCATATTTTTTAAATTTATTCCCATGTAGAATTAATTGTCATGTCTGTGAGGCTCATACCTACCGACCTCTTTGCATTATTTTATGAAGACGTATCACTTCCCTGCTTTCCTATATGATTTTGTATCAGTATAATCTAAATTAAATATCAAAGGACTAATTTATCTAGACTTTGCTTTATTATATACGCAACCCTTATTTGAACTTGAACCCCACCCCACCCAAATATAATTTCTCTTATTTTCACATTGCGTACACACTTGTAATTTCGTAAAATGCTTGGAATTTAGATTAGGCATTTGTTTGGAATAGGTTGCAAACGAGATAAATAGATTACATTATTTAAGTTTAATTCTATTAAAATTCGGTGAATATACAAATTGAATTGACTCGATTCAAATTCTTAATAAGCCGTAAAACTACTAAATATATGACTTGAAATTTACGAGTAACTCGAAAAATAATATTATTTTCTTAATTATTTAAATTAAATTAAAAATAATATTAGCATTTATATGTTGTTTTTAAATATATATATAATATATATATATCTATATATAATTTCAAGTTAAGTTTTTTAGCTAGATTCAATCTTCAATTTTTAATTTTTAGTTCGGATTGAACTTAAAAATTTTAAGCTCATGAACTTTTGAGTCAAGTAAAGTTCAATTCTCATTTTTTAAATAAAAGTTTAACAATATTTAAACTCGACTCGATTTTATTATAATCCTAATTTAAAGTGGCATAGTAATTGTTCACTATATCATGTTATTTATTAAAAAATATTTTATGGTTGTTATTTAATTTTTTAAGCAGAATTAATTATTATTATATTTATTATTATTATTATTATTGGTAATAATTATCTTAATTTTTAAGAACTTAATATATATATATAAGTTTTTGAATAGATAATACTCACATATTAAGATTAAATGACAGGCTTATCTGACATTCAGCCCGTCGGTAGGTTTGAATTGAAGCCACGATTGTTTTTGGTTCCAATTAAACAAAAGCAAATCCAGAGATTCATCGATGTTTCCGCCTTCTCGAATTGAAACTGGAAAGTGTGGAATTTTCATCTGACATTAATCCATTACTTCATAACATGATGATTTAATTTGTCAGAAAAACTAGAGCTCACACTTTAGAAAAGATGGCCATAGAAACCCTAAAATATTCCTGGAAAACCTACAAGCCTGCCCAGTTTTTTTCTCTCCAGATTATACAGCCACCTTTTTTTTAACAAATGTGTATGCA